ATTGGGAGAGGCCCTGAAGAGTGAGAAGGTCCTTCACGTTGAGGGTCTCCTGTCTTGGACTTGCAGTCCTAGTAGTCAAATCCAGACAAGTATTTGCAATAGGGGTGAAAAACTCCATCAAAACTGACCTCCATCCTGCCCTCCTGCAGGAGATAAGCTCAGCAGAAAGAGCTCCTCTTGAGGAGCATTGCAAGCTCCTCCAGAAGTGTGACTGTTTGCAGAGCAAACATGCCAGAATCCATCAAAGACAGGTCCTGCTCTGAGAGGATGATGGTCTGAAAAGTGTGAGCGTGCAAACACCAATGGACCTTACATTGCTGTCCCAGGGAATAGGGACATTATTGATGGTATCTCACAGTGTCAGGTTGGATCAGCAGCACTGAGACACTGTCTGCCAGTTGTGTGTGAGGTCCTAGAGGCTACGTGGACCCATATCCAGCTGTGTGAGGACAATGTTGAGCTTTTAGGATTCTTCTCCAAAGTGGGCACACCAGGAGGAGATGTGTTATACACAGAAATGATGTCTCCAGGCATGGGCATCCTTGGGTGCACACCCAAGCAAAGGCACTCATGCCAATGTGGAGGAGCAAAATCCTCTCTAGAGACCTCATGTTCTTCCCAGCAAACATCTCCTAGCTCCAAAGCTGCCCCTCAGCTGGTAATCAAGGCTCCTTCTCTCTTTCATCCTTCTCTAGGAAGTGCCTGAAGAAGATGTGCGTCTATGACCCATCCAAGTTTGAGTGGAAGGAGTTGGCTCCCATGAAAACTGCCCGTTCCCTGTTTGGAGCTGCTGTGCACAAGGACAAAATCTACGTGGCAGCGGGTGTGACTGACTCTGGCTTGACCAACTCAGTGGAAGTCTATGACATTGCCACCAACAAGTACGTACCTGAGCACACCTTTGGGGTGTAGTTACACAAGGGACAGCTGTAGGTGCACATTAAGCAACTCCCAACCATTCTGGAGTTTGCTTCCAATTTCTGATACCAGTTCCTCCCAGTCTGTAATCCTTGGACAGCTGGGCATCACCAATGCCACTGTAGTTGGGCTGTGGATCATCTCAGGCTCACCTTCAAAGCAGTTTCACCAACTGGTGCAGCCCTTGGGTTCCCTGCAGGACTGTACCTTCACCTTGGCAGCTTCACCCAATGCAATAGACTCTCTGATTTTGGGTGGGCCTTGCAGCTCTAGTCCCACCTCTAGGACCTGCTGGTCCATGCCAGGTGTGCTTCACAGCTCGTCTACTCAATGCAAAATGAAGTTAAACTATGATGATGGAAACAGATCTCTCTACCAACAGTCAATGTATGACCCCATCTCATGTAGACCTACACAAGTTAATCTGTCACTGGTTAATTCAGTTGTTGATTCAAGATTTGAGGCCAGCCTTGTCACAAAGGTGGGCAGGGTGCCCTAACATGTCCCCTCTCTTGATGTGGCAGGTGGGACACCTTCACTGAGTTCCCGCAGGAGCGCAGCTCAGTCAGCTTGGTGAGCTTGGCTGGGGTGCTCTACCTACTTGGAGGGTTTGCCACGGTGGAGACGGAGTCAGGAGAGCTGGTGCCAACAGAACTGAACGACGTTTGGAGGTGACAATCTTCCCTGGGGCTGCCCAAGGAAGCATGGGAGGGATGTAGCGATAGGATGAGGAGAAATGGTTTTAAGTTGAAAGAGGGGAGATTTAGACCAGATATAAGGAGGAAATTTTTTACACTGAGGGTGGTGAGACACTGGCACAAGTTGCCCAGAGAGGTGGTAGAAGCCCCATCCCTGGAAACATTCAAGGTCAGGCTGGATGGGGCTCTGAGCAACCTGATCTGGTTGAAGCTGTCCCTGCTCAGTGCAGAGGGGTTGGACGAGATGACCTTGAAAGTTCCCTTCTTACCCAAACCATTTGATGAGTCGATGGTTCTATGTCACTGAGAGACACTGAGGAAATATTTTCTCTTTCTTGGTGCCTTCAGTGTGAGATGGATGCTGTGACCCCAGCAGAAGGCTGCAGGCTCAGTGAGAAGTTTGCCCTGTGCTGTGCTGGAGGGCACGTTAGATGATTCAGTGATCTCTTCCAAACTCATATAGCAACGTACCAGGGAAAAATCTGCTCCTTTAGCTTTGTTGCTGCATTGCCATTTTGCCTGGACCTGGTTCCAGATCTCCTCTTTGGCATGAAGCAGTGTTTGTGCGATTCATGCTCCAGTGCTCAGGCTGGAAATCAGAAAGTCTTCTGTCTGAGCAGCGAAGTGGGCTGAAAGCACCTTCTGACGGCTGCTAATGTAGTGTTAGCTGCTCCTGACCTTCACATCTGTGGCTCTAGAGCACCCTCAGCAGGCACCTGCTGGCCTTCACCATGGATGCTCAATCTTGGTGCCAACAGTGCATTTCCCAATGGAAAAAATACACCCTCCCACACAAAACCACATGCTGATCTCCATGTCCCCTCGCCTGGAGCTACAAACCAGAGCACACCAGGGCTGAAAGTCCCCATGAAAGTCCCACAGATGTCTTGTGGTCAAATAACATCTGTGGAACATCACATCATGCAACCAAGGTTCCCATCACTACGGATAGCAGCTGAACTGAGGGACGGGGGATGTTTTCCTCGCTCTAACTGTCTGTTTGTCTCTCTCCAGATATGATGAAGAGCAGAAGAAGTGGGAAGGGGTCCTCCGGGAGATTCAGTATGCCTCCGGTGCCACTTTCCTTCCCGTGCGCCTCAATGTTTTGCGCCTAACGAAGATGTAGACAGATGGAGACATTTCTTTTTTTAAATTATTATTTTTTTTCCATGCAGGTCTGGGGCAAGGAGGGATGGGGGGAGGTGGGGCCACACTTATGTGTGCAGAGACGTGGTATCAGGATACTGTGTAGGACATTACATCTCTGATTGGTACCATTTTACTTGGTCATCAAATGGGAAAGGGGGGGAAATGATCTTGAAGCTCTATGGGAACTTGAAGATGCCCAGAAGATAACCAGAGAATGGGTCTGGAACCTGCAAGGAGCTGGGGTAGATTGAGAAGCATGGAGCAATGAGCTATTCCAGTCTCATTAGACAGGACAAAAAGATCATACTCTTGTTCCTCTTCTTTCTCCATGTCTTCCCCATCTTCTGAACTGCTGTTGAACCTCCCCAACCAACAGTGGAGGCAGACAGTGGGTCCCAAGGGACTAAGTTGATGGTTCCTCAGGGAAGAGGGTCTATAAAGTGATTTCCCACCTAAGGTAGCTGTGAGCAGGGTGCTAGAGCCCACCTTGGAGGAGAAGGAAGGGTCAAAGTCAAGTGGTACAGGAGAGATTTGGGGGAAGTTCGATGAGTTCCCAATGAGGGTTGTTGGGATGCAAGAGTTAAAAGAGCATGTGGACGTGGGCAGCAGAAACACTTTGGAAATTGCAGTGAAAAGAAAATAGTCTTATTTCTTTGCCTTCCCCTTTCCTTTGGACTGAAGAGACGCCAGGAGCTAAGGTCTGCAGGAGGGGAAGAGTCATGCGAGTAGTAAGGTAGGAAAGGAAGGAGAAATGGGTGGTGTGGGCCATGTGCACTCATCTCCAGTCTTCTGAGCTCTTCATCTTCAATCACGGATCACAATGTCCTCACCTATGGTTGGCCAAGTGCTGTTTTTCAGGGAAAGGTTTTATACTTACGTTGTTTCTCTTATTTTTAATATTCTGACCTTTTGGTTTTTTGTTTTGTTTTGGGGTTTTTTTTAAAGAGTATTCTAGTTTGCTAAGTACATGGAGATCTCAGATGTGTTTGGCTCAAGGAGAGCTTCCTACTGAGGAAAAATGCATATTATTTTTTTTTTAAAGTTACTCATAATGATGTTTTGATAGAAACATGACTGTACTGGCAGCAGGACACAAAGCTGCTGAAGGAAAAAATAAAAATCTCCTGGTGCCCACACCATCTGACCAGTGGTTTCGAAATTATTAGACTATTTCAAAAGAAACCCCCTGTCTTTGCACGTTGATAGAGCTGTAACTGAATGTCCACAGCAACCAAACACAAGGACCAAGAAAAAAAAGATCTGATGAACACACACAACAAACCAACCCCATGGAGAGTCCTAGGACAACCTCAGCTTTTCTCCTTCTTATTTTCCACCATTTAGGAGCTGAAACTTGGGATATTCATGACCTTATCATAGAATCATAGAATGGTTAGGATTGGAAGGGACCTTAAAGATCATCTAGTTCCAACCCCCCTGCCATCAGCACGACACCTTCCACTAGATCAGGTTGCTCAAAGCCTCGTCCAGCCTGGCCTTCAACACTTCCAGGGAGGGGGCATCCACAACTTCCTTGGGCAACCTGTTCCAGTGTCTCACCACCCTCACAGTGAAGAACTTCTTCCTAATATCTAATCTAAACCTCCCCTCTTTCAGCTTAAACCCATTTCCCCTTGTTCTGTCATTAACTGCCCTTATGAAAAGTCCCTCCCCAGCTTTCTTGTAGGCCCCAATACCTTACAGCTATTGTCCATAGATATGAGGACTAGAAGCTTCTAGAAGCTTATCTAGGACTAGAAGGAAGCTAGATGCCTACATGATCTCATGATGCCACGAATAGAAGTGAACATCAATACTTAAAGAAAAAGAATAAATGCAAACCTTGCAAAATAATCCCCTCAAAGTAGCGTGAAAATTATGGTGTTAAAAATCATATCTGGTTGATTCGTCAAGCTCAAAGTCGTGGAGAAATGAAAACATGTTTGGAAAGCGAGAAAATTTGGCATCAGAAATAGGAACTAGAGTCTTGTCCTGGTTTCATTTTAAAGCTTTAAAAAGTTACAGGATAATCTCCTTAGAGGACAATCACATCAGCACAGTCATGAAACAGTTTCACAAGAAAAAGAAATTCAAGGTGACTGGCTGGCACAAAGGAGCTTCCAAAAAAAAAAACCTTTGAAACAATCAAATGTGTGAAAAATGCACTGAAAAAAATTAAAAAAAATCATCACCTTCTACTCAGTTCTGCAGAAATTCCTGTGGACGACTCCCGGGCTAATTGAAGATGAATCTATCAAATATTGAGTAGCCTGGAGCATAAAAGAGAAAGGAAAATTTAAAAAGAGAAAAGAATAATCCATGAATAGAATAATAATTTTTTTAAAGTCATTTATTGCGGTGGCAGGACACCATCTCCTGCCTGGGATGGGACACCAGCACCTTTGCTTCAGTTCTTCTTGTTGGATGCAGAATGGAAAGCTGTTGAGACTTGGTCCTAAGATAAGGTTCATCCCCATTCAATGGTTGCCACGTTGCTTGGCTCTCCCGGGGAAAATCTGGGTCCTTTCAAGTCAACGGGAACGTGGTTGAGCCTTGATGAGTTGTTAGGTGTGGTCCCCTTGATAATTCCTTGAGAAACGGTGATTAAGACTGGTCCCCATCCTTGGTCATTCACCTTGTGACTGTCCATTTGGAGTATACTTAATAGGAGCTTAGTGCTCCCTCATGGTTCATGTCCATTATAAAGCTGTGGGAGGTGCCACCACTGGCACAGGGTAAGAAACCATAACAAAAGGACCTAGAAGAGCTTGAAATATCCCATCACTTGAGCAATGAGGGCCAAATCTCAGTGCGTGCAAGCCAGTGCTGGCCCAAGGAAGACAGTCAAGCACATTGCCAAGCCAAAGTCTGCTCCAGAGATGTTCACCACCTTCTCGCCAAGAGGTTGCTTCAGTCCAAGGCAATCACAGATGACTACTCAGAGAGACATCACTCCTTGCTGCTGCCCGGTGTTTTCCCAGCTCAGATGCACACAGCTCCACCAGCACAGGTCACCCACAGGTATCTTCACCAGGCAACGTCAGCAGCAAAGGAGCACATACATCCCAAGGGTGGTGGAAAATCATCTCTTCTTCCATTAGCTTCTCAATATCAGTGCTGACATTAACTGGTGAGGTTCCCACCACCCCGTTTTAAATCAATCATAGAATCATAGAATCATAGAATGGTTTGGATGGGAAGGGACCTTAAAGATCATCCAGTTCCAATCCCCCTGCCATCAGCAGGGACACCTTCCACTAGATCAGGTTGCTCAAAGCCTCATCCAACCTGGCCTTCAACACTTCCAGGGAGTGTTTCAATCAAGGCACTGGGTACATTTGAATGGGCTCCTTGGTTTCTCCACTGCTTACAGAGGAGCTCAGACAACCCGAGCTCGTAGCTCACACAAATCTCATGGAGCCAGTAGGACTCGGGAGCTCAGCCCTCACCAAGCCCCTTCCTCGACCTACTCATCACCCTTCCCTGAAAAGCTATTTTTTATTGACCCCACAGCAGTCATCTCACATGTACATCTCTCACCAAACCCAAAGCAAAGGCTGTAAGTGTGAAGCAATGGTAGAGGTGAACGTGCCATGGGACACCCATCCCGCTGTCCTCTGACTCCTCACACACCTGCCTGAGAAGAGACTTTAAAACAAAAAAGAGGGCAAAACTAAGGTAACAAAGAAAGTGGTGGAGCTTTAGGTTTTCTTTTATAAAAGACAAATCGTTTATTGATTCAGTCCTTCCACTTGCAACCTCTTTGGTAACAGTCATAACACTTCCAGACTGGGAGAACGCAGTGGGAAGGCCCAGTTTTGACCTCTCACCAATTTCAGAGCTCAGTGACGCCTGACGTGCCTTGGTGAGAAGTCAAAAGCAGGTTTCAAAGCATGGCCAAAGACCTGGCCTCTAGGGACAACCCGAAACAGCCTACTGTGACTTGTCTTGCTCATGGATGGCCAAGAGAGCAGCCCCAGCACCGCCTGGCAGAAGATGGCTCAGGATAGAGATGCATGCTGGGTCCTTGGTGCCAAGGCTGACTGTGAGCACTGCCTTGGAAGGCAGCTTTGATGCACCTCCCAGGACCTTCTGGATATTGGCCAATGGGGCCATCAATGAAGCAAGACTCACCCATTCCTCCAGTAGGCAATGACTCGCCCCAGTTTGGCCCCATGTTGATGCACTAACCCAACCATCTCAGCCTTCCCTTCATCACACCATCCCAAAGAGAGTAACTGCTGTACTTGGAGTTAAAGATAAACATATATTGATTACACATGGTCATAAAAAAAAAGTAATAATAATTAATAATAATAATAATAATACATTTCCTAGAACATTACTTAAGATGCTTCTGAAAGCATCTAAGCTTCCCCTCCCCTCCCCACCTTCCCTTCTCTATACAGAATAAAGTGCTTCATTTAGTTTGTTCACACTCCTCGAGCCACCGACACACTCTTGAACTTGGCATGTTTGGGCAACCGATAGCGAATGCCGTAAAATAACATCAGAGCCGAACACCAGGCATGAGAAACGAGTTTTGAGGCAAGTGCTTGGGGGTTTCATTCATGTCCTTCAAGTTCCATGCTACTGAGGTTCTTCTCATTCCTATTTTTTTTTTTTTTCTTAATTTTGTAATTATTATTTTCTCCTTTTGCAAGTTCGACCCAACTCCCGTCGCGGTTACGTGGTCACTAGGCAGGGTTGCGT